CCCCCCCTTTTTTTTCCCCTCCCTAATTTCCGAAGGTGACAGCAGGCGAGTGTTTTTTCCTGAGCTGAGGTGTTTGCTGTAAAAGTGGGTCTCCATCGCGGGGACTGTGTGTAGATCGGTGCAGTCTGAACAAAGCCGCAGCAGCAATTCCTTCGCCGTGGGATATTTGGGGGGGATCTCGCTGATCTGTGCGTGTCAGCTCGTATTGGACAGAACCAAAATGGAGAAGTTGGTTCTGACTTAGAAATAATATTCCCGTCTCCCTTCCCTGCAGCCCCAGCCTGCAGGGCTGGCATCAGACCATCCGCAGCCAGAAATCGGGCTGATTTTTTTTTTCTTTTTTTAAGAAGAGAAAGTTTTGCAGTTGGGTTTAGGAGGGAGGGAAATCTGCCTGGGTGATTTTTATAGTGCTATTCGTGGTTGTAATCCTAGGAGACTGATGAACGAAAAGGATCAACAAGATGCACCTCTGTTCTAGCTACCAGGAGAGCAGCAATCTTATTTTACTGCAAGGAATCGTCACCAGCTGGTGGATGAACCGAGGTCCCTGTGCCTCAGACACTTGGATCCTCTGTGGAGCTGAGCTCAGTGGGGCTGCGAGCACGTAAAGGCTCGGTGTGCCTGGGTTGTGTGCAGGGAGGACCGTGGGCCCAAGCGCTGCTCTGCAAAGGGGTCAGGAAGCAGGGGATGTGCTAAGGATTTTTGACAAAAAGCAGAAGTGTCAGCGGAGAAAAAAAAGAAACAAAACAAAGCCCGGCAAGGGAAACCATTCTCCTGTTGGCTCCCACGAGAACCTGTGCCTTGCTCTCCGGAACAGCCGTAAAATTGCAGGGAAAACAAAGGTGGTATTTTGCGATGGTGGGTGAGGGGTGGGGATTAGGTCATGCTATGGGGGGGATCCGAGTCTGGCTGCTCCGCGAGTGAGGACCGCAAAATCCCGGGTCAGATGTGCCGCTTACAATGCGAGCTGAGTGGTGAAGTTTCTGTCTCCAGTCATCTTGCAGCCGTGTCTGCGTGCTTTCTAACATTCCGGCTGCAATCAGGGTTTTGGATTCTTCCACGCAGTTTTATCTCCCCCCCCCTCCCCCTTTTTTTCCTCATAATCGCAAGTTAGCAGCAGTTTGCTGTGATGCTGGAACTATTCCTGTCTAAGTTGTCCTCTCTTCTGAGTTCGGATCATCCTCAACACCCCCAGAATCTTTTCAATGAAAGAACGTCCTCCTCTGAATCCAAAATGGGCTCTCTCTTCCCTCCCTGTCTTCTGCCATTATCCTCACGCACCAGCTCTTCCTCTAGCTAGTGGTATTGCCAGCACCGTGGCCTAAGGCCAAGGGAGTTAGACAAAGCAGTCCTTGCAGTTGCACATATCGCATTCAGAGTGATATGACTGCAAATGGCCCCCTCCTTTCTGGAGCTTAATTCTGAGTTGAAGGAGATTGCTTCTCTATTGTGCTTAAATTAAATGCCCCCCCAGCCAGGAGGATACATCCCAGGTTTGCTTCCAAACCTGGGGTGAAGGACCACCCCCCGCCCCGTCCTGCAGAGGAGACGAAAACAGGAAATCTGTCCCTTTTGGCCTGAAATCAGCCCTGCAGAAGCTTCTCTGTATGAATGCTGAATATTTTGGTCTCGGCCGACGGAGGGCTCTGGGCAGCTGTGGATCTCACAGGGATTTTCCTCTGGGAGGTAATGCTGCTTTCCTGCAGTGCAGGGCTTGTGGTGCAGGAGTATTTGGAACGGCAGTGTCAACTCAGCTCCTGGAGCTGCGTCCTTGCTGCAGAGCTAACTCCTTTCAAGTTTAGGCTGAGAGTGGCCGCTCTGCAAAATCATGTTTAAACTGTGCTCAGTAAGTGGATCAGTGAGATGAAGCAGTTGCAGTTGATGGGTGACTGTGCTCTGTTCTCGCACAGGAGCTTGTTTGGGGACTCAGAAACCTGGACTGAAGTCCAGAGGGAGAGGACCTGTTTGGGGGGGAGGAAATAGGGGGCAGAAGGCTCCGTGGGTTGTCGGCAGATCTGAGGATGACTGCGGGTGAGGAAAATGCAGCTCCTCCACAAGTGACTCAGGATGCTGGAAGCATCCGGGTGCTGACTCCTCTGCCTTACACCGGGCTGAGGGAAGGAGAATGCGTTGCCACAGCAGAATTTGGTGCCTGTTCCTCTTCCCCATTGCCCAGGTCAGTGCGGATGCTTGGCCCAGGGTGTCTGCAACGAGGCTTGCAGTGTTTTGTCCGAATTATCAGTCACGTTCTTGGAGGGCCTGTGCTTTGGGAATTGGGCCCCTGCGTGTAGCTGTCAGTTCCAAACTGCCTGTGCTCGGGGAGCCCCATGTAATCTCCTGCACAAGCACCTTCTCTGCCTGGGCAGTAAAAAGGTGCTCTGTTAGGGACTCGCGGTACTGTGCCTCTGCCTTCCTAGCCTCACCTGACCCTGCGGTGTCCCCGGGGAACTTCTGTTACCCTTTCTAACAGCCATATTTTGATTTGTTTGTATTCTCTTGCTTATCGTACTGAATCCTGCAAAGTACTGTTTCCTCCTCATCTGTCTTGTGTTTCATATTGTTTAACTGTTTCTCTGTAAGAGGGCCAGCTGCTGAGGTGAAGTAGAGCATCTCCATTGACTTAAGAGGAACTAGAGAGATTTGCACCAGCTGTGAACTGGTCTGTAGTTTGTCTTTCCCCTTGTTTCCGTGTGTTTTTTGACTCTGTGGATATTCACCAGCATTCCTATTTTATTCAGAGTATGGACAGATCAGAGAAAAGTAGTTTTAAGATACAGAAGGCAGCAGAAACAGCTTGGGATTTTCCTTTGGTTTTATTCTAATTCTTGCAGAAATGTCAGGTTTTGAGAAAAACTGCTGTTCCTGTAATAAAACTTAAAAGCTATGGTATGTAGGATCTGGAAGAACAAATTCCAGCAGACTCTGACAAGGGAAGGAGCTGCGTCTTGGCCTCACATGAACAAGAGGTGACCTGTACAACAGGTGCTGCTGTAGCCAAGGACCAACAGGGCTGTCAGTGTGCCTGCCACACCTCACAGCAACCAGAAGTTTCTTGGTGAAAGTGCAAATTCTCACTGAGAGGTGAAGCGAAAATAATTTCCCTAACTGGGGCTGTAGCTTGCAACTGGAGAGACCAGTTTAATTCAGTCCTGAGAAATGGTACCAACCATGCTAGGCCGTTCCTTACATTATTAAGACTGCAGCGCAGACTTGGATGAGAAAATGGCTTGCTTGTCGCCCTTTACAGAGACAGCTTATGTTTGATATTGTTGTCCATATTGAGAGGTTGCTTTTGGAGTGGGAGTACTGGAAAGAAGTACTCTCTCTGCTCTGTTTGTAGGCAGAGCAGAGAGCAAAGTGTTTGTGCCTTAGTGAGCGGGGTAATTTCTAGGAAATACACTCCCCCCTCCAGTTCAAACTGAAATTTGTTGGTTCCGTGATGTCTTGAAGTCCATGTGAAGTTAAAAATGATCTGAAAAGAAGCATGCTAAACATGTTTGAGGATTAGCAATTTTCAAGTGGACTTGTTTGGACATAGAGAAAACGGGCATTTGTGGCTTTGTCTACCTGAGTGTTCAGCTTCAGAGCAGTGGAATAGTTTTCACAATCAGCAAATCTCCTCATTGTCCCCACCCGTCACATGTTGGTTCAGTTGCAGTGTGGTTTTGGTTCATGCTAGCTTGATTCCTTTTGGGTAAAAGTAAACTAGAAGCTCTGCTCCAGTTGTGCAACACTGATGCTCCATCGCTTGTAATGGGAACTCAGGGGTCCAAAGCAAAGAATGGACAGCTTAGAACCATACCCACGATACAGACACTTAGTCTGGGGGACCGGACTAAAATTTAATCTGCCCCCCCCCCCCCCCCCCCAAGTGTATGTGGTGTACATGTACCAGATGCTTTCATCTTTTGATCCTTGCCTTGTTATGCCAAATAACTTGCTAGTGTAGAAATAGCCTGTGTCTTAAGATAGAAAATAAGAATTGTGGGGAGTCCAAGTGACTGTCTTTTATTTTTCTGATTGACCCCCCCCCCCCCCCCCCCAAGTGTATGTGGTGTACATGTACCAGATGCTTTCATCTTTTGATCCTTGCCTTGTTATGCCAAATAACTTGCTAGTGTAGAAATAGCCTGTGTCTTAAGATAGAAAATAAGAATTGTGGGGAGTCCAAGTGACTGTCTTTTATTTTTCTGATTGAAAAAAAAAAAAAAGGCAGGGGAGTAGGAAGAGGAGACATAAAACATGACCGTTATCCACACAGAAAGATTAAATAGAACAGGAATACTAGAGGAAAGGTCCAGAGCGTGACAGATCAAAAGAGCAAGGCCTCTGACTGTTACGATAAAGAATGTCCTAGTTCTTGAGAACACATTTATGTGTGTGCGCACTGGATTTTTTTAAAAGGAAATAGTTTTATTCAAAGAAAGGTCTGTTTCTACCACAAGGGCTGTTTAAGGGGGAAATAATGGGTGAAAATACAACTTTCACAGCCAGTGCTATAAGGAATGTTTTGTGCAAATGAGAACGGGGTCCATTGTTTTAAATTAAAAAATTTATTGGAAGGTTGGGGGAAATAGAGGCTGTCTGTTTTCACTCCAGGTTGGCAACTCCTGTAGAGTTCAGTGTGTGGCTTGGCTATACAGTGGATCTACTTGTGTAGACATGCATGTGGGGTCCCATGGATGTCAAGGAGTTCTTGCTGAACTTACACCAAAGTGCGTAGGGGGCTAAGGAATCAAATATTCTTGTAGTCAGCCAAAACACGACAACTGTGATGCAGGCTGTGTTCAGATACTTGCTGCAGAAGTGGCTGTGCTGGTTGAAGATGTTACCTCTCCCCTTGTGCTTGAAGATGCCTCGCAATGTACGTTGGCAGAACAGCTTACATGAACATTTCTCATGTGTTTTCTTGCAAAGTTGTCTGGTTAAGGACAGAATAATTTATATCCTCTCAGTTAAAATATTCCAGCCTGGTTGTCTCGTACCACATACTGTCAGGAACCAAACTGCCATCATCTGAAGCAGACGAGGAATATCCTCCAGTTGTGCAGCAGAGGCAGTAACCTCCAGCACTGGGCTCTATATAAAGAGCCAGTGACCGCTAGCCATCTAAATGGCAGCAGCCTTTATGTTGCAAGCAGCCGCAGCTTGAAGAGACTGTGGAATAGAGGTAGAAGCAGTGAGATTTCACGGACTATACCATGTACCTTGGATAAACTCCAGGCTACAGATATCTCTTACTATATGCTGTCATGTTTGTGGATAGAAAGAGTTTGTAAAACGGCAGGAGTTTACCTATGTGGTTTTATAGGACCTTACAAAGTACGGGGTTGTAGAGAAACGTATATCCAATGGGGTTGGCTCTTGGCTTGTCTACGTCAGTTCTATATGAGTAACTCGGTGAGTTGAGTAACTGTTCCTGATTTTACTTTGCTGTTCACGAGGGTGAAACAGGGTGGCGGTTGAGCTGTGTAGATGCCAC